CCATTATTGTTGTTTGGCGGGCCGGGCTGGATTCGAACCCGCCACCTTAGGTGTATGTGGCTGGCGCCTTAGCCGCTTGAGCCACAGGTGCCGAGCCCACAATGTATTTTCATTGTTACAAAGGGGTCACAACGCACAGGTTGAGAACCGCTGGTTTAGAAGGTGTTACTGACAGAACTACTGAGTTTTCCTCTTGCCTCTTCCTGCTTAACCTCCTTAAGGCACCAATGAGCATTTTCTTGAAAAAGATATTTGAGGCCAGGTGCAGTGGCTCATGTCTATAATCCTAGCACTCAGGGAAGCCGGAGCAGATGGATTCCCTGAGCACAGAATTTTGAGACCAGCTCGAGCAAGAGCAAGACCTTGTCTCTACTAAAAATAGAAAAACTAGCCAGGAGTTATGGTGGGCACCTGTAGAGCTACTTGGGAGGCTGAGGCAAGGGGATCACTTGAGCCCAAAAATTTGAGGTGAGCTGTGATGCCACAGCATTCTACCCAGGGTGACACAGTGAAACTCTGTCTCAAAAAAAAAGAAAAAAAAAGATATTTGAAATGATATGAAAATTCAGTTATCTACTCTCTTAAGTGGTTAGGTCCTAATAATACCTTTGATTTTAGCTAAATTTTACTTCCTCTGGGAAACCTGTCTCACCAACATACTCTGGCTCAAGTGACCTTCCTGTGTGTGTGCTCCATCATAGCATAGGAGGACTGTATTATTATAATTTTTTTGAGATCGAGTCTCAAGCTGTCACCCTGGGTAGTGCTGTGGTGTCACAGCTCATAGCAACCTCCACCTCTTCAGCTCAAGCAATCCTCTTGCCTCAGTTTTTCTGTTTTTAGTAGAGATGGGATCTTGCTTTTGCTCAGGCTGGTCTCGATCTCATGAGCTCAAGCAATCCACCTGCCTTGGCCTCCCAGAGTGCTAGGATTATAGATGTGAGCCACTGCACCCAGCCATAAGAACTGTATTGTAACTGTACCCCAGGGCAAGGCTCCCATTCATCTTCACCACTAATTAGACACAATTAGTATAGGGCCTGGCATAGAACAAATGCTTAATAAATACTTGCTGGGTCCTGGGTATTTGATGGCATTAAGGGATGAACAACAAAAAAAATAAGCCAAAATTAAATCCAGTTCTTGAAAAGTCACTCAAAACAATGGCCTGATATTATGGTTCAGACAGTTCTGGTGCTGGGAATAAAAGATAAAAAAGAGAATCTTGCTGAGTGCACTGGCTCACACCTGTAATCTCAGCACTCTGGGAGGCCAAGGTGGGCAGATCACCTGAGCTCACGAGTTTGAGAGCAGCCTGAGCAAGAGTGAGACCCTGTCTCTAAAAAATAGCTGGGTGTTGTGGCAGGCCCCTGTAGTCCCAGCTACATGGGAGGCTGAGGCAAGAGCATTGTTTGAG